TTGTTGGTTTTGTCGTGACGCGGCTCATTTATACATTGTTTTGTCAAGTATGGATTATCTTTAAAGTGCTAAGCGGATTAGTTTTGTAAGCTATAAATTTAAATGTATATAATATGACTGGGATTGTTTAATACATGTATACATTTTGCTGTACATTCTATATTTAGAAATACATATATAAACAGACATTTGAAGAATTACATTGAATGAAACTGAGAAAGATTAGGGTAATATGAAATACGATACTTGGAAGAAAACCAGTAAATATTTCCACGTGTCAATTAATAATAATAATAATAATAATAATAAAGACTTTATTTAACGAGAGAACTCATTTGAATAAACATATCAATCTTCCATGAGGCCCTCAACAAGGAACAATATAAATTTAACATATTCAAACTATTAAAATACATAAATGTAAAAACATACAGGAGATTATCAAATTGTATACATCAATGCGTGATAAAACCTCAAGTATAAGGTTTTAATTCAATTAATATAATTTGTCAATTATTATCATAACTTTGGAAACAGAGATAATATGATAATAATGATAAAACTGTGGTTTGCTAGACGATAACTATCGATATTTCATATGGTAAATTATATGACTTGACTTGACTTGACTTGGTAAATTATACCACATTATCCTGATATTTAATGTGGCCGAAAACGCATGTTTTTTATTGTTTAATATTGACATTAATGTTCCGTGAGAAGAAATAGGTTTGATATATTCTGGTAAGACAAATTCCCAGTTAAAGTTTACTATATTATGTTTGTATTTAAGTGCTGAAACGGAACGATTTCTCTGCCAAAATGTCAGTAACTTTCTAAAATAGTTTAAAGTAATTATAGCTGTTATTCTAGAACCGCATCTATTAAAGATATCAAGATTAAATGCGACGTGGCGTAAGTAATAAATAAAGAATATTTTTATTATCAGTTTGCATGTGAGATCGAAATATATGTCATAATTGAACACAATATGTATGTAATATTTTAACGAGTGGCGTATTAACGAATCAAAATATAAGACCAAGTGTTCACGTGGATCTAACGTACACAAGAGACATACTGTTTAGAAGTTTTAAATCACTTGTTTGACGTTATCAAATCATGGTCTCACATTGATCTTTTTTAAATGAATTCTGTAAATTATAACGCCATTTCGTAACATTTTAAAAATCATATAGGCATATATTCATGTGCTTCTCTTTATCAAGCACATTTTACTAACGACTGACAGAATGTCTTTACTAAAGACAAATTAATTTCTTCTCCGATCAGATATAAAGGCCTAGTCCGGCTACAGTGAAAATTATATTTTATAGATCTAATACTACTGTGAAATTATCAAAATGTAAATCACTATCTACTGAAAAGCATGTATTATGATAAGCCCATTTCTTAAATTAGACACAAAGTATCACTATCGTAACCTTTGACCTATCGATCTAAAATCAATAAGATTCATTAGCTGACAACGATAACTTGCGAATTAATTTGTGATAGATCGTTGAACATTGTATTCTAAATATATAAGATCAAAGGGACGAAAAGATGATCGTAAATTAAATCAGAAAGTAACTAAATGTGATTTATTTCTTGTGACCGTTATCGTTTCATATTTACAACGTAAAAGAAAATATTTCCGTTTCATTAGTAGTAGGAAAATATCTTTAATAACGTAGCAATCGTTTGTCTCTCTCTTCCCCTTGGTACGTGCACGTCGTAGAGAAGGCACAGACAAGGGCAGCGACAGAATATTTTGAGCTTGGCTGATTCATCACCACCACGTTGACTGCTTCAGATCCGAATGAGCGCTGTTGTTGTATATAGGTCCCCTAGTTACAGCCAACGCCCCCCCCCCCCCCCCCCCAACACACACATACACACACTAACATCGGCTTAAGCTGAACACAGAATGGTAAAAATTTGAATTTAGAAACATCCGACGATGTGTCCATACGGCGGTCATCATGGAACCTTCAATATGACACTTTTGTGCCATTCCATGAACAGCGGCGTATGGTAAGTAAAAGAAAAGATGTGCTCTAATCCAAAAAAAATATGGGCAGAACTGAACAAAATGTATTTTTGAAAGGGGTCAGATGTTATGAAGCCTGCAAGGTATGCAGTGACGACAAGGAAAGTGACGGCTTGAAAGCCAAATCAGCCTTTTTTAACGCTACCTCTTTTTAACTCACCTGAGCATGCTCAGGGTGAGCTTTTAGGATCGATGATTGTCCGTCGTCCGTCGTCCGTTCACATTTACCGTAGTTGTTAACACTCTAGCGGTCACATTTTTGCCTCAATCATCATCAAACTTGGTCAGGATGCTTATCTAGTTGATAGCTCGGATGAGTTCGAACATGGGTCATCTCGGATGAAAAAGTAGGTCACCGGAGCTAAAAATAGAAAAACCTTGTTAACACTCTAGCGGTCACATTTTTGCATCAATCATCATCAAACTTGGTCAAGATGCTTGTCTAGGTGATAGCTCGGATGAGTTCGAACATGGGTCATCTCGGATGAAAAAGTAGGTCACCGGAGCTAAAAATAGAAAAACCTTGTTAACACTCTAGCGGTCACATTTTTGCATCAATCATCATCAAACTTGGTCAAGATGCTTGTCTAGGTGATAGCTCGGATGAGTTCGAACATGGGTCATCTCGGATGAAAAAGTAGGTCACCGGAGCTAAAAATAGAAAAACCTTGTTAACACTCTAGCGGTCACATTTTTGCATCAGTCATCATCAAACTTGGTCAAGATGCTTGTCTAGGTGAAAGCTCGGATGAGTTCGAACATGGGTCATCTCGGATGAAAAACTAGGTCACAGGAGCTAAAAATAGAAAAACCTTGTTAACATTCTAGTGGTCACATTTTCGACTCAATTATCATCAAACTTGGTCAGGATGCTTGTCTAGGTAATTGCTTGGATGAGTTCGAAATCGCATGTGGAACTAGGTCACCGGAGCTAAAAATAGAAAAATCTTGTTAACACTCTAGTTGCTACTGTTTTGATCCAAGTATCCTGGAAATTGGTCTAAAAGTTTGTTTTGATGATTTCTAGGCCAAGTTTGAATATGTGTCACCTGGGTAAAAAAATAGGTCGCACTGCTCAAATATGGATAATCCTTGTAAACACTGTAGTGGTCACATTTTTGACTCACCTGTCATGAGACTTGGTCAGAATGCTTGTCTAGGTAATTGTTTGGATGAGTTTGATAAGTCAGGTGAGCGATCTAGGGCCATCATGGCCCTCTTGTTCATATTGTCTGAGGATACTGTACATATAGGTTCTCATTGGTCGCCGTACAGTGACCTTCTTTTGGCTCAAAATTACATCTTTGCCTAATACTCCGTGGAACTTGCATGGTGGTAAATTATCACCACTTTATGCTTCCAAATTAACCCTTTAATGGCATGACTGGTGACATGTCCGGGGCCTTCTTCGACAGCGAAAGCTGCCTTTTGTTCCTTAAGGGGCGGATTGATTCTCATTAAGCATAGATTGCTGATGATTTAAATGCGACTGTAAATGCTCATTAAAATTAGAATACATACATTTCCTAAAGAAAACAACATATGTCTCCATATCAGATGTTGACGAAAAATATAGTAGTAGGGTCAGCTTTTACATATGAAAGTGGCTGAATTAAATCGTCATATCTGAGTATAATTTGTAATCAGGATACTCGGTAATCGATCTACTCTACAGCTATGTAACTGATCAATACTATCTCTAAATCACCATTTAAAGTAACGCTTTTTCTACGCAAAATATTACTCCAGTTGCTACCCCTGGCATATTTTCGATCACTGTAAAAGAATTAATTGAATAAACAAACTGAGTGTAGGAAATTAACCTTCTTTAACTTATAACATAGCCTTGTAAAGAGCATCTAAATAAAGAGCAGCTTTAGAGAAGCTGAACTGTGCAAAAAAAAATAGTATGTGGCATGGAAATACACAGGCACTTATATAGAAGCAATTCCCGGAAGACGCTTTTTATCTTTGAAAATATCTCCACAGAATTGGAACGATTAAGAGTCTTAAGTTGCGACCTAAGATCAGATGATAAAATAAATACTAATATAAGCAAATAAATGTTTTAATTAGATTAGTTTATACGAATTTATTTTAGCTCGATTTATTAAAGCTTATTGAAACACTTTCGAAACTGTTCATGGAGCAGCCAACCAGTTCTAAGCAATGAGTGTAAAGTTTCTTGCTTACGGAAACAACGGCTTGAATGTGGGTTCATGTGAGTTTGAACCAGCATGACCAGCAATCCTTAGATTACTAGTCCGACGCGTTAACCACTCGGACATGCCGCCACTCAATGTCTAAATGTTATAATTAATAACCGGGGATGGTAAAACAACATCATTTATTTATTTATTTATTTATTTATTTATTTATTTATTTATTTATTTATTTATTTATTTATTTATTTATTTATTTATTTATAACCGTTATCTTAATCTTATGAACATTGGTATACCTTCACGATGCTTATCTAAATGCATATATAAGTTTTCTTTCATTCAATGCATTTCTTTATCATTCTACAATCATATACACAATCACATGCATACTCATGTTAATGCATTCATTTTGATCTCGAGGACTATTTATCAGGTTTGTAAATTCACTAAATGCTATCTAAACTTAAGTATACACGTTTATACTTTAAACTGCTTAATTTCACTTTTTATATTCTGAAGAGTATATTTGAAACCAATGTTATTATTGGCATAATGGATGTGTTTTTTGTATATTCCTGTTTAAAGTACGTAATTAATTGTATTAAATACTTCAAATTTCCGTTGCCTATAACTTGTCAATACTAAAGCTACGAGTTCGTCCTATTTCCATACAACCTATCAATACAATGTCATCTGGAGTTTTATTTCTTTATAAAGAACAGACCTTGTATTTGTCGATCGTCAATATCCAATATATTGGATGATTGAATGTGTTTTTCTTCAACAAAGTAAATGCTGTATTGTACGAGGTATAGCTAAAACTTGTCGGTACGTATCCGATCTGGATTAAATAAATGTTTGACAATATTTCATACGGGGATAATAACGATTTTCTTTAAGGAATTGGTTGATCCTATCTTAAGGACGGCAAATACTAACAAAATACACTTTTATCTGTATTCTGGCATTGCGTCAAGTTTAATTCGCTTAAAGAGAATCGTGTCAAATGTTGTTGACAACTGGAGGATTTTAGTAATAACTGGAAAATAAAGTGGAATTTGTTTTTAATTTAATAATAAAGTAAAAAAGGTAAGATATCGAGTTCGATTTACTCTTTGTGTTTATATTAATGTATATGTATAAATCAGGTTCAATTCAGTTTACCGGCTTTAACAATAGGGGATGTTTTTAAGTGTTTATTCGCACTTGAAAACGTCCAAGTTCTCTACTTCTGTTTGATTAACAGTTTTCTGTATACTTGTTTTTCGTCACCGAAAACTATGAAACTGGTTTCAACAGTAAATATGATGATAAATATTAGAGATTGCATTTCAAGAGAGCCATTGAAACCGATCATCAAACAAGTTGAAAATTCTTACGTTACTACGAATTTAAGATAATCAAAGTCACTTGATAGGACTATTCATAATACTTGGCTAATAAAAATGAAGGCCATATTGTCGTCTGCTTAAACACGCAAGTTTATTTGTCATCTTCTGAAATAATGTAGGGACACTTTGTCGTCTGCAAAATAAGAAATGTATTATATCTGTGACAGAGTGGAATTTATCGTCTGTTAGCAAGTTATAAGGTAGAGCTCTGTGACATTTAATCATTAATTTGCTTAACTTTAAAGTTATAAATCAATTTGCTCTTAATTTAATACAAAACTTAGGTTAAAAGCAGATTTATTATCGTAACGGTTTTATCATCAAGAAAAACTATATGATCGATAGTTAGTAAATCATTATAAGTATTTCTCTATACAAAGAGTATTTTATGTTATAAAACAAATCAATACCTAATTGGCTGTTATTAGAGAAATATGTTTACTCAACAGGCACTTGGTATTTGCAGGACAGGGTACATATTACTGAAATTATTGACTGAATTTTATAAATTTTCAGTGTGGTATGATTTTTATTACTATGTTGTATATGCTTTTTTTTCATATAAAATATACATGATATGTTTGCGGGTATGGTGAATGATCGATGGTCATTGCTCTAAAGAAATATTCGAATCCTGTTTTCAACGAACGAGCAATCTGACTTTAACTTTAGCGAAATAATTTTATCAACACATTTTTTATTGTACACATCGCCTTAATCTGACAATGAAGAATAAATATTGCGATCAAAGTATTATGTTTAATCTTGTAAACAGCATTTTAATACGTCATGATTAAGGATTAATGCGACATGACCAAAATAAATAACAAAGGAAATAGCAAAAAAACTTCTTAACTCTTTAGGCTAAAAGCTAAAACTGAAAAAAAAGATATTGCAAGATACGTGTGTACTTCTCTTTTTATATATATTTCTTGTATACCTTTTACACCTTTTCAGATATATTATCAACTTCTGGAATTAAAATCAAGCTTGCAGAATTTCAGTTATTCGTGTAAACTAAGATATTTGAGCAGTTTGTTTTACATGTTGACGTTCTTGGAACAATACAGAACAGTTGCCAGCCATAAAATCAGAGCACGACATTCACACTAATTTAGACATGTACGACAAACTGTCCATATATTCTGAATACAACGTACTAATCAGTGCTCGTACATCTAGAGAACGTATAATTTATTAATGAGAGTAATTTTTACAACTTTTAGAAAATGTATTGTGAAGAATATGTTGAACACCATACTGTCATTATTGATATTTAAAGAAATTCCAGACGGTTAATCCGCGTGTAAGATGAAAAGATAATGATGTTATGAGTATATATCCCCCTATCATATTGAAGTCATAGTGTCCTTTAAATATATATTTGACCACGAGTAGATCTATTTAAGGAATCTTTGAATATAGATATTCATCATGATATTAATGACAATATATAGTTTTTATTTTATTTACAAACTGTAAAATTGCGAGTTATTTAACATTTTCTTAGTTCTAGGATAAGGATTTTTAAAGTATGAAAGTGCGGATTTACACTGATCTTTTCTTCTTTTCAGATTGTCCAAATTCAAAAGGGATTTAAGTTAGATTCGCTTTGCCAACGTCAGAAATGGCGCCTCACGTGACGTCATATTACCTACTATCATTAGACTATGGAGAAAACAACGAAGAAGCATGTGGATAGGCAGGCGACATTTGACACCGATCCCCATCGTGCAAATTTAACACATGGGAAATTAAAGCTTCCTATAATAGAAGCACAGGAATTGGAGAAGAGAAAATCTGCATTAAAGGACCATAGAAATAGCCAAACTAAACAATTAGAGGACACAAATGTGAAAGAATCTGTAAATAATGTTAATAAGACCGGAGCAAGTGTAAAGGAAATAAAGACAACTACTGCTGCCGTTAAAGGTAACGAAATAGACAAAAGAGCCAATATTCTGTTGAATACTAACAAGAAGGCAGTGAATGGTGCTGATAAAGAAGTCAAAAGTTCAAAAGATCCATGGATAAAATCCCCAAGTGACTCAAATAAGACTCCTCGTAAACCCAATGGAGTGGTTAATAACGATAAAGGCGGTAAAGCACACGCGGAACAAAAAACAAATATAAGTGTTAAACCGAGTGATAGTAATAGTAAATCAGCAATTCTAAATAAAGTAAATGAAACAAAACTTGCAACTGGGAATTTGAAATCAGAAAATAGTCAGAAAACGAATAACAGTGATCAAAAACAGAAACCACAATCTAATGCAACTAAAAACGTAAAAGATTCTACGGTTGAAAGTAAATCAAAAGCTATAGAGAATCGATCAAGAAGCCCCGAAAAACAACCACCCAAAGCAGCTGTATTGAAAGATTTAAACAGCAAGAGAAGTAAAAGTCCTGAAAAGGGGCGAAACGTTAGTCCTTATAAAGAATCAAAACTAAATAATACAAACGAAAATTCTAAAAGCAAAACACAAACTTCTAAAACAGTGATAACTAAATCACCACCCGGAAAAACCCAAACCGTTGATGATAAAAAGCAAAATATATCTCCTAGAAAAGACAATGAGAATAAAAGTAAGATAGTTGAGAACAAAAGTCCTACCATTAAAACAGATAATCAAAAGCAAAAACATCAGGATAATACCAAAGAAAAAGTGAAAGATACAAAAAGTACGGCTATAAATGCAATTCCAACTAACAATCCTCCTGTTGAAACACATTTACTTAACGGTGATAATATAGCAAAGAAGAGTGTTAAGATAAGTCCAAGAACCAAACCGCAAACTGGAAAAAGTTCACCGTCAAGTGATCTTAATACAGATTACAATGAAAGTAAACAAATTTTAAATGAAGACACTAATTACTACCCGAAAAGAACAGTTGACGTCAGCCAAAATTCAAAAAATAAAATCAAAGGTGACACTCTGCATTTAAGTACTCCAATAAAAGAAAATAACTTGAGTGCACATGATAGTGAACAGCATAATGAAAGGAAGCCCGTAACTGTGACGACTGACAACCAAACAGTAGAAAAACTTACACATTCTCCTGACAAAGTGCAGAGTTCGGGAGTTTCAAATAAAAACGAAACGTATGTTTTATCTCCTTCACCAACCAAGTTTGATTCAAGATCAACAAGAAACAATAAAGTGTCTAGACCAGCTCGTCTAAGTCCATCGAATGAATCTGTTGAACCAATAAAATTAGAACACAGGCCGTCACCAGACAAAGTCGGTATGGATTTAGACCGTAAAGAATCGTATGCGCAAGTGTACGCAGAGCGCAATACTCTGCTAAATGCCGAATACACGTATAGAAAACGTATAAAACAGCTCGAAGAGGAAGCAAATGGTTTCCTTAAAGCAATCGACGACTTGACTACAGAAAACAAATATTTAAGAAATCGTGTTGATACTCTTGAGGACGAGCTGCGAAATAAAGGAAATTTCGACACAGTTGATAAAATTTCCGAATTGGAGAAAAATAAAATTGATTTAGAAAACAAAATTAAGCAATTAGAAAAATCTGCCAAATCAAACGATAAAACAGATGAATTGAGGGAACTAAAAGAGCAAATAGTGAAATTACAAAGTGAAAACCAGGCCATAAATGAGGAAAATATTAAACTTAAATCCGAAAATTACGAAAATACTAAGAAATTACATGCTTTAGAGGCAGAGAAAAAGTCTCTTGAAACCAGTGTATCAGATACTGAATCACAAAAACTTGACAAAATTCAAGATCTAAGTAAGGAACAAAAACAGATGAATAAGCAGTTAAATGATCTAAAGTCCAAAAATAAATCTTTAGAGAAAAAAGTAGATACATTAGAATACGAAAATAAAACACTGTCCGAAACGTTGAATCAAAAGAAGACAGAATTAAATGAAATTCTTGGCGTGATGAAAGATGAAAATAAGTTTGAAAATGAAATCAAGGACTTGAAAAGTGAAGTATTGAAGCTTAATAAGGAGAAGAAAGAGTCTGAAGCGATTAATACTAAAGAAAAACGTGTTCTTAGTGAAAAACTAAAGGATTCCAAATCTTCTTTAGAGACAAAAAGTAAATTTGTTGACGAACTAAAGATAAAGCTTGATCAGGTTGAATCTGAAAATAAGAGAATGAAGTCAGAGCTCGATCCAATGAAAAAGTTGGTTGAGTCTCAAAAAAAGGAAATTGCAAGATTGAAAGAAGAAAATGAAAGACTTAAAAAAGAACTTAAAGAGAATAAAGACATGTACAGCAGGCTCGGAAACGAAACTGAAAGTGCATCAAAAGAGCTAAAAGAGGCCAAAGAACAACTTGAATTGTTCAATAAAGATTTACAGAAGATAGTTAACGATAAAGAAAGTCAAATAAGCAAACTAATAAATCAGCTGGACACTATGAGACAAGAGAAAGAGAATGAGAAACAGGTAGCGAAAGAAGAAAAAGAACGCCTTGCATCTGAAATTGATAAAGTTGAATCGTACCAGGAAACTACAAAACGGCTAGAAATTGATTTGAAAAAATTACACGACAAGGTTGATGAGTCGAAGTTGAAAGAAAAACAATTATCAATGCAGTTAGAGGATAAAACATTTGAGGTATCTAATTTAGAGCAACAAGTATTTGAAATGAATATGAAAATGGAAAATCATTCGAAAAGAATGGCCGAACTGGACCGCGAAAAGCGCGATATGGAAAAGGAAAAACGAGAGTGGGAAGTGAAAAAAGACAAACTTAATGATATTGAAGCAAGCAATAAACGGCTTCTTGAGGAGAACAAAAGACTGAGAAATCAGATAGAAATGTCGAGCTATTCGTCGACGTATCGGACTACTGGAACAGAAGAGAAACCACTCGTTGAGGCGTGGGTTAATGACAAAATACACGCTCAGACAATAAATCATGCAATATATGTCACGAAAGAAAAGGAAAAGGATCATAGGAGAAAGAAAGTGCATCTAGCCCAGCCAGCCATCAGTAAAAAGAGAACACCATTCAGCAAGTCCAGCCCTGCGAAAGTGTCGAGGCAACACAAACAAGATGATCACAGATCATCTCACCCTAGTACACACAGGAGCCTAGAAGACTTGAGAAAGGTAGCCGATATAAAAAGTCCGGATTCTGAACATAGTTTACCTGAACTGAAACAAGATGCTCGGCTAACTGTCGGTTACGGTAGCTTCGGTGGATATAGAGAAATTCATAAAGATAGAATAAGGGCTGCACAAAAAAGGGTTTATTAGAATTTAGATGATTTTAGCTGAATATTTAGATTGTTTTGAGTTGCTCAAAAATGATGTCATTCAAAACGAATTTTATTGGGAGTCTCCATTTCAAATATATTACTCTTTTGAAAAATAATGCAAAAGTGCTTATGTCCGTAAACGTTTTGGCCACAAGAAACTACTGTTCATTTCATGTAGTTGCCTTGGTCATCTGGTCTCAAACATTTTCTTAATTCATTTCAAGTATCATGTGGTTAGCACTTTCGTTTATATCTATATATATAAGCTCTTTTCTACAATCTTAAATATCTGAAACTGTTAAATTCGTCCTGATTAAATTACATTAATTGTATTTTAGAGATGATACCGTCTGCTGTACTGTGTACAGATATAACATTTTGCATCATATTTAAAATAATGTAATTATACATTGATACGCTATTGTATTACATGTATGTAAATATTCTTTTGTTCAGGGCTATTTATTTATCGCTTGTACATGTTATTTATGCTTTCATGTTTTAACATGCATCTCACTTTGATTAAATACCTGTAAAATTACTTCTTTTTATTCTGAGATTATATACCTCCAGCATATAATACCACCACTCCATCCTACCGACCACCCTACGTTCTCGACCACATATATTCCTACTAAAATTGAGCGTTATATCATAATGGTGTAACATTGCGTTTCTTGTATCCATTTGTCGATTCAGCACGCCAATATTATATTAATCTATTTTTTCTCTCCATTTGAAGGACCAGACCTGTTTTCTGTCGAAACTACATTTTCTGTCCAAACTACATTTTAGTTACCGAAATTGTTCTTTAGGCAGCATTGATACTGCAAGGCTTTACTGATATCGTAGCATTATAAATATCTATTAATCCAGACAAAATATATACCTTAAAATAAAAAATTAAAAACTTTATTTTAAATAGAATGAATTCAGTAATAAGCTTATCATATTCAAAACAAACATCATATTCTAATATATATGTAAACGTTTCCTTTTTACAATTTGTATGAGGATGCACATCACACGTACATTTAAACCAATTCTTCACCCGGATGCATGTATTCTTTTATTTTATCATGCCGATTTCAAAATTTGAGGAAATGCGAAAAATAATCGGATAGGTGAATTTTTATTGGTAGAGATCAAGTTACAACAAAATAATCTACTATGTGGTCAACATTTATTAAAAACAAGTCATTTAAGAAACTTGTATTATTCAGTATCCAGAGTTTCGAAAACTATGAAATTTAGTTATAAATCAAATGCATCGGATAGACGTTTTTGTTGTTGTTGTTGTTGTTGTTTTTTCTTCTAAAATAATCTTCCACATTTTTAATTAAGTTTTGTCTTAAATTGCTAGATTACGTGAGTGATGGCCAAATTTTACACGCAAGTAAAGGTAATTATTAAGTATACGAGTATTCTAATAGAACATCTGAGAGTGTAAGGGAAGGGAAGTAACCGCTGTTAGCTGCTTGCAATTACTCCCCGAGTTTTACCCCTTTATAATTGTTAAAACTCCAACATTAGTTATATATACCTTCTATATAATGAATATAATGATCATGCCGAGCAAATGTTTACAAGTTTGTTGTACATCTTTGCAAAAGGTTGAAAGCGCCCTCATGTACAGAGGAAAACACGACACATGGCCGGTGTGTTTTTGATACACCTATTTTGGAATTTGTAGATGCTTAAAACAGGTGCTGAAAATGCGACAGAAAAATGAAGCCTTTACATTTCACATTTTCGTGGGACCGATGAGTGACCTCTGCTCTTGACTTAAGTTGTATACAAGGTCACTTGTGCGCATTCAGAATGATCAAAAATGTTATTGGATTGGACGTTACTAGCATACTTAATGCATAATTTAATAGGTGAACCAATATGCAGCATGCAATGAAAATACAACTGCGTCGTATCATATTTTATTTTCAACTGCGTCGTTTCATTTCGTACAAAATATTACTTTCTTGGAAAATAAACATCTCTCGTAATGAAATTTTAGTAAATGATGCAAAATTATATTTTTAAGTTTATGGTTAACTCTGAAATGAGTATAAAATTGATTTGAAGAAAAACGATAGATAACGATATATGAACTGCGACGTATCCACAAAATTTCATAACAATTATATATAATTATATTATATTACTACGCATTTGAACTCAAACCGTGCATTATTCTACAACAATGCACTCAGAATTGATATCTATTTCCTAAATAAATTTTGAACGATTAAAAAAGGGAGGCGAGAAATGAGCCTATGATAATTATGAAATACATCAGGTGCGTGCGCACGTGCATGCGTGTGTGTGCGTGTGACTGGAAAAAATTTGTCATAAACATAAGTGAAGTAGTACTTGAGAACATGAGTAGTTGTCGAGTAACAGCTGTAGAAGGCAAATGGGGCAAATGGCAGTTCAAAGAGGAAATCATAATTCATTTTTAAATTATCAAGTGCTTGTTTTGAAACATATGTCTTATTTTTTCCATTTGGTAACCTTAATGTAGCTTCTAATGACACCGAAACAATTTAGTTTCGAAAGCTGTTTCTTTGTTGATTATTTATTCTTATCTCTACTCTCACAACTAATCTAGAATAGTTATTATTCAAGAGCAAATTCACAATAGAGCACTTTATTACATGTATATGTAGGTTACAAGTCCAATTCAAATCGATTGAAGTTGTCCGTTTACAAGTGATGAAAAGAATAAATCATATCCGGTGATTATGAATCTGATAAAAAGGACGGAAGCCCCTATTAAACAAAACACTTAAATGCAAACATATATATTCGATTATACAATGATTCATTTTTTAATGTTTGATAAGATGCACAATATTCAATATAAAACGCTATCTTAATTTTAAAGCTAGGTTTACTGAAATGAATGCACAATAAAACGGTATTCCCAATATTTTGAATAAATGCAGGTTAATAAAATAAGCCCTACAATACATATTTAGCCATTTTAATTTATTATAAAATATTATTTCAATACAATTTTATGTTAAGCACAAAATAAAAGCATGCATAATTAAAAAATAATCCACCGCAAGTGAGAAAGTTTTATTCACTTGGACTATTCTGTATCAGAATCCCGAGTATCTGCAACGCAAGCCATGGAAGAATCTTGTCCAGATGTTCTCAAATTATAGTGATATTCATCCTCAGAGTCTTGTTCACGTCTTTCAATGTTTCTTACGTAATATGTTATCGTTTTGAAGACTCTTTGCTTCATTTCTTCTCTTGCTCTAAGCCTATATTTTTGCAAACACATCGTTTTTATAATTTTAGGCAATGCACATACAAACAAAACAGTGAACACGTGCGTCACGATGGATAAGTCTTTGAATTTGTCAAATGCAACAAGTAACTTCACCGATACTACAAGAACAGATATCACTAATGACAATTTTAATATTGTAATAAATAATTGATTTCTCCTGGGTAAATTTGTATTTATGATCAAATAGAAAAGATCAATCTTAATGCCATATTTAGTTCGTATGCCTTTGATTGCTATTTGATCTATTTCAGCATTATCAATATGTTTATTTTGAAACTTTTCACAAAATTCTAAACTCATTTTTAAAAGGTCTTTGTAACTCTCGCTGAAAGCATTGATACTCTCTGTTACATAAAACAAAGTCATGAACGCTAGAACAAGGTAACCGTAAGAAAGGTGTGGATATGCAAAGATGCCACTATATGTTAGCATGGCAATTTTAGACAAAAACCAAAATCCATCAAAGAAAGTGATACAATACGTATACCATGAAATGAAAAATAAGAAAATCATTGGCATAAAAAGTAAACGTTGAAGGCATTTCATAATCAAACCCCTATGCTGAAAACAATTATTGTAGTGAATGCAAAAAGACTTCAATAAAATGAAAAAACAGTTGACTACAGGAAAAAGATAATATAGAACAGCTAGAAGTAGCTCAGCCAAACAAAACACCATGTAAAACGGCAAAATAATGGCACAATGAAGAACGGCGACGTACATGCTTTGCCAACAATTGTATACTTTCAAAAATATCTTATTTCCCCACCTTATACGAAATAACTTTATGGACTGTGTCCAAAACTGAAAATTTATTAACATAAAAATCTGGGCTAAAAAGAGATGATGAATTTTTCTGCATCCCTTATGACGCCTGATGTTTAATCCGGATAAATGTTCCTTTAGCTTTAGCGGCATCCTCATCAAAAATAGAAACTGCTTTACGTGTCCAACCATTCCAGCTGCTACGAAATTCTCTAAATTTGAAGGAAAAACAATCAGTAGACATCCAAATAAAAAACAGATAGAAGTAGCAACAATTGGACCCCCAAAAGCATATATAAAATATTTTCTTGCTTCGTGTGCCCCAGCTAAAAGTGTACTAAATCCAAGAAGAGCACCTTTTTGCACAGCAGATACTATAAAATCGTAAGCATATATATAATCCAGTAAAACCCGGGTCGCAGCTAAACACATGGGGAGAATGATAATCCAAATTCTGAGGGCACGTGAACCTTTTGTGCCTTGCAGAATCAAGCCATAGAAAGGTGAGACTAAAGTTGAAAATACTGATATTGGATTTGATTTCAGAGATAGATAATCTGATCTTTTTAACCTATCGGTATTAATGTGTCCGGAATTTGACTCAAATGTTTCAGTAGCTGAATTCATTGATAAAGAAATGCTTCTTTCTTTCTTCAATGTTTTTGATAATTTCTTTATTTTCATTCCGAGTTTTGTCAATAGCAATGGGTAGAAGCCGAAACAAATATTCCCTGCTATAATAGGTAGTATCCACCAAAGGGTCCCATAATGATAACTCTCCTGATGACATTGAATTGTTCGTATCTTTTTTACATAATCAAAATGAAATTTGCAACATTCATATTCAATTGTTTGAATTGTACATATAGAATTCATACACAAATTATATAGAAAACTTGAGTGTGTCCAAGTACGTTTATAGTAACACCACAGGCTAGAATTATACATCTCTTGTTTTGAAGCTATTTCTGATGTCATGTCGCCCAATGCATGTCCGATTTGATTATCTGTATCTTCATTGCCTATTATAAGATTCTTACAATCACCAGATTTTTCTATATCAACAGTCAATCTTTCTTTCATTGTATGTGCCCAAAGTAATCCAAATGATAGATAACCAAAATCTTCTGGTATGTAAAGATATTGATGTGCCCCCTTTTCTCCTCTGTATGTCCAGATCCAGTCCGTTTTTGAAATAACATTTCGTGAAGCATTAACACTAAAGTTTACAAAGTTTAGTTTTAAATAAACGAAATTATACCGATTTTTTAAAATATTATAAGTGAATTCAATTTTAGATACGTTTTTCACCTTAAAATTGCAGCTTTCATTTTTCAAATTAAAGTTTACATCATAAAATTGTCCATTTGTGCCATATGAAATGTTATGCTTATTGTCTGTGGCATTTGCAGCAGAATCACTGGTGGTGATTGCTTTGATCATCGAATGTGGAAATGATAACACTTTATTACTAAAGTTTAGTAAGAAAATACAGGCCAGAAACTGTGTCTGAAACATGTTCATTTTTCCTGTAGATATATTTCTCCCACCTGATGAATTTCTTTAACAAGATCTAAGTATTTTTGCCTGTAATAAGTAAAAGCAAAATAATAACTTAAAGGTTTACTATCTAAGAACTCTTTCTAGTTCTTTGTTTTGTTGTTTGTTTGTTTGTGTTTGTTTGTTTGTTTGTTTGTTTGTTTGTTTACAATTGCTAAAAATAATAAACTTATAAAGTAATTGCTATTAAATATTTTAATCTTTAAATCATCATCATCCAAATGAAACATAAAATACATATACTTATTATATATCTAATAAATCTAACCAATCGACATTCTGCATTTGTACCTCGTGGCCGTCCAATATATTCCCGTATTGGATCCAAAAAATACATTATTTTAATATTGGACTGTTGAGTACATCTGCACTAAACGATGCTTGTCTGGCTTCCGGTGTGGGTGATGATATTGGAGTAGGTTTTGTTGAGGTTAATGATGATGATGATGATATTTCAAATTTAACGAAAGATATATAATAAACATTTATTATACATTTTATTGTACACTACGGAATATATTTGGACTCGTGCACAGCTTAAAAAGTCATATTGGACTCACTTATCGGCTAGTCCAATATGACATTTCAAGCTGTGTACTCGTCCAAATTCTCGCACTGTATTGTACTAGTAAATGTATAATAACCTATAAATATTGATAAAATCATTGTTCAATTATCTTTTTTAAATAACTAAAGACATAAGCGTAATAAAAGTTATTTTACCTGTGTTTGATAATTTCCTAAATATTATTATTTATACAGTTGAAAACGGAATATTAAACAATGTCAATATAGAACATGATTAAATGATTAAATACTTTAACATGTCCGTCCATAAACAATGTGAAGTGAAAATTCTCGCAAGTCAAATTTTCGCTTTCGTACTAAAGTGAACAGGAAATTAATTCTTTTTTCAAAGTGGACATTATGTTGTTTACTTTCGGTATATGAATAATATAACGAAATGAGATGATTGTTATGTATATAAAAACAATTAAAATCTAGACATCGTGTATAACTAGCATGGTTTATTCCATGTCAATGGTTAACAGCTACAAATGTACACGAATAATAAATATGGTACTCAGAAATTATAACATTGGGTAACTTCAAAACCTGTAAATATGCACCTGTAATCAACAGAAATGTATATGAAGACAGGGTCTTTTAAATAGAATGCATGCAAAGTTTCTCAGCTTTCGCTCTCTCCAATTCCCATACTTTTCATTTTGATTGTGCAAAATAATCTAACTCAATTAAGTCAAATCGGGCTAAAAATCGCAGTAAAAATATTTATTTTCAATTTGATTTTGATCTTAGATTTGATATGTCTTGAAGTTGGCAGCCCAGATGCCTAAACATTTAAAGTTGTTAAGAACTTTTGTAGTCGACATAAAACAAATTGCAACAGAAAATGTTTGCCAGCTGTAGAAAGCATATGGAATAAAATGAATCTTATCAAAAGTAGCAAAATTTAAGTTGCGCAACATAGAAAAAACCGAGTTTTTATCGCGGTATTTTTGTGAATTTTCGAACAAAGCGTCTCCAATACCCAGAAGAACGGCTGTATAATGGCGACAACAACACTAAAATAAGTGTTTACACTGGTGCCTCATATTTCCGTGGTACCCATAATTCCAAGGTATAAGGCATTAACAATCTCAAGTGCCTCCTAGATTTCATGCACCTGCCAGGAGTTTTAGTTTTACTTTTTTAATGTATTTTTATCGAAATTTTACATATACGACTGAGTAATCTTATTATTTTATTCAGATAAAGAACAAATTAAATTATTTCACCATTTTATTTTTAGTTTTCATACCGTCTTTGTTAAACAACCATTGAGCACAAGGCTAAGTATAGATGTACTAAAAAAATAAAAATTACTATTGGTTTTGCTTTTGAAACTGTTGAAATGTAATTGCCTTGGAAATATGAGAACACAACTTTACTCACTAGGCAGCAGATATACCTGTTGTGTACATTGTGTACATTATTGCTTACATATGCATACATTAAATGGAATACTGTATGATGTAGTTGATATGTCTTTGCTACAATATTCAACGTATTTTCCCGAATTTATCTAAATTGTGTTGTCTGCGTTGTTATGACAGACAGACAGACAGACAGACATACAATTTAATTGACGTAAACAGTACTGTACAGTACAGTTTTTTGTCATTCATTTTACATTTACATTTTATATATATATATATATATATATATATATATATATATATATATATATATATATATATATATATATATATATATATATATATATATATATATATATATATATATATATATATATATATATATATATATATATATATATATATATATATATATATATATACAAACATATATTTGTCAAGTGAAGTGATCAAATTAAATTCAAACAATAAGAACATTTTTATTACAAAAATAAATACAGATATTTATCAGCAAGTACCACGGAAATATGAGGCACCGGTATACAAATCAAATGTGAGTAAAGTACACTGTAAAGTGGTTTGGTATAGATATATTTCCCTAAAATATTACAGACCATAATAAGAATTATTTATGTTAGGTCCTAAAGTTTATTATTTGTATTTGTTGAAAAATATTAGATCTACTTTTTTCGCAAGTTCTTGTAGGGTATATCCACGAAATGTCGGCGGTAACTCGGTCAAATACGGTTAACATTGTCTCGGTTTAATTAAATATAATTATATGCCCGCGGCGTGTGCCATAAACACGTGTGCATATGTCACTCATCGCGTGATATTTTGCCAAATATAGAAGTGCATAAAATAGAATATGCACAGATAAAACAAACATCGTCATTTCCTTTTCCGTTGTACAAAGTTGAAATCGTGAATTCATGAAGTTGTAATGTCCCCACCAGTCTTTCGTAAAATATATCACATAATGAAATAATGTTAGCAATTGAAAACGAAATAAACGCGCTTAGATATTGTTCAGGGTGTAAAATGTTTTTGTTATTCAGAGGTTAGCTTTAGTTAAGTAATCACATTGTTTCTGTAAAGGCAAAAACTTCTGAAATTGAGTTTTTTTTCCTGTTTATAAATCTTTTAAATAACAAAACATGTCTTAAAAACTTTTCTTTTTTTATATTGATAAAATACTTATACATCTATATCGCTGTATTTGCGCAAATTTGAAAAGTGCATTATAAGATTAATTTACTGTAAATTAATCTTAAAATGCACTTTTCAAATTTGCGCTCGCGCTATTGTATGTAGATCTATTAAGATTTATTTTAACTTATGGATCAACGCTGCATGTTTATCCTAAACTCATACACATCGCCAATCATGGACCATAACTAGAAATCACAGTTGTTTATTAATAAATTCTTCATTAACCCATTACTTCATGAGCATTTTGTGAAAAATGGCTGTTTTCATTGAAAAGTCTCCCGTTACAAGTTAAAATTGCTATAATACTATAAAAACTGCTTCAATACTAATCCAACTTGGCACAAATGTTGACTGGACCATTGCCCTTGCAACAACATGCTCAGGCTTAAATTTTCTGTTACCATGGCAACGAGGGGACATCTCAAAATTGCCAAAAATCACTATTTTGCGTTGATTTTTTCCATCAAAAATGATTTCAAAGTGCTGCAACTTCTCAATGGATTGAGATAGAGTCAAATGCTTTTCAACGTTGGTTACACGTTACCTTATGTCAATCTGGGGTCATTTTAGCCTCTCACAAGTCCAAAATTTTCTTGGCGATAAGGGGGACTGCTGCCCCCTTCAAACCCCCCAAACAGAAGGGGGCACATCCCCTTTCTGGCAACCACCTGATGTATCTTTTTGTTGGGGGCCGCGCCGAAAAAGTGGTCACTTTTTTTAACAACATTTCTCAAACAAAAACAAGTGTTGGGGGTCCAAAATTAGGCATTTTTCACCATTTGAGACAACAAGAAAGGGGGGGGGTGAAAAAGGCGTTAAAAGGCGTGTTTATCGCGTAATTGGTTAACAGAAAATGATTGTTTTGTAGAATTTTTTATTTTTTTCATTAATACTATTATTTTATAGAGACTTTGATACAAGATTTTGATATAACTATGTCCCTGTCATTTTACCAACTCCTTGATATCTGTAATCTTGTAGCTACATATATATTATATAATGGTTAGAAATTTAAAGTCCTTTAGATAATAATTGTACAAACTCATCATTAACAATGCATGTTGAAGATAGATATTGGATCAAAATTTATTACTTTTAAATGGGTTGATATGACTTAATTGGTAAATAAAAATTTTTAACTTGAAATTATTAAATAAAACACTCATTCATTTGAAATGGGTTTGAGAACTTCTGATTCAAGAGTACATGTATTTCATTTTGTATCATATATGGAATGTCTTGTTTAATAAAATGCCCTAGTTAAGTAGCTGTGAATGCTATAGGCCAAACAAAATTTATTGTTTGTTGTTCATTGTTTGAAGGTCATTAAGAGACCAAGTCAACAATTTCATTTCAAAAACGTTTTGGAGGTTTAGCCCTTTGTATGTTAAAGGTCATTAAGAGACCAAGTCTACATTAATTTAACCTGGGTTACATTCCAGAAAAGTTGTGAAGGTTTAAAGCAGTATGCCTCCATATTCATGGTATTTTTCATGAAAATTCTAAAAATGTTTTTAAAGGTAAAATATTGTTATGTGAACGAAGAAAATAATTACCACATTGCAAACAGTACTTACAATCGACTGAAATTACAATAAAGCGGTCAAAATATGCATACAAAACCCTTACTGTGTTAGTAACGCAGTAGAAATATGGTGCAAAATTACTGCAAAATCATTCATTAATCACATAACATGTAAATTATAATGTTTATCTTAGACCTGTTTACTTTCCTTAAATTCTGAATACATTTTTCTCCAGTTTGATTTCCTTGAAATTTTTTCACCCGTCTGGAGGCATGCCTCTTTAAGTATTTATTAAGTGGTAGTCCACTACATACAGCCAGGAAGCCTGCCTGTGTAACACTAAATTTTGACTCCGTTGAAAAATTGATGCCTTCCCATTATTTAATGACTACCCACCATAAAAATTCCCAACTAGTGATCAAAATAATAATGCTAAACATGCCTATATATGGTCATATACATGAACAGTAATATTTCTGTATTCCTGTCAGATTTTAAGTGATAACTATTTATTCATTTTAATCAAGAGGACCAGGAGCTAATTACAATTTGGCAATAACTGATAATGGACAGCTATATGGTACTTAAGAAATGAATAATACAGCCGTTCAACATTTCTGTACTGATCAGGGGGAGTAACCGCTGCGAGATGTGTTTTGTATTGGCAACGGTTACTACCCGTGAATACAGAAACGTGATAGTAGCAGAATTGTGAATGATTTGAAAACAAGTTAAAGTGCACAACTTGGATAACCTTCAGCAAACCTGAATTGGGTCATACTGAGATAATGTAATACCTTCGGAAGATATTTATCACTGGGTATACAGTACATCATTTTATTTCTGTATTATCAACTAAAATTTAACTATCCGTTATAAAATGACCCTAATTTGATCAAAATTTAACGAATGATTATTTATCAACGACTTTTTGATCAAAATTTAATGTTGAATAGTAGGCAAGGCCAATTCTCAACGTCGAAAAATGGCCAAGCTTCAGTTCTCAACATTGAAAAATGACCTTTTAACGGGGTCAAAATTTATTACTTGTGTCGCACCGGAACATCCAGGATCTATACTGTTGTTTGCACATTTTTGTATTTTGATCGTGATTGAAATGCCTTAAACTTCTAAGTAATGGACTGTTCTAAATTCAAAGCAGGGCACGCTCATTACAAATAAGGCATTTCAATTAAGTAATACTTCCAAATTCATGCATGACAGAAATGTGTTAGTATATTCCCTTTAACGCGAAAGGCACATGCACGAAGCCAATTTTACACGGTAAAACGTTGGAGAATCCACCGTCAGATTATGGAAAACGTTGGAGAATCCACCGTCAGATTATGGAAAACGTTGGAGAATCCACCGTCAGATTATGGAAACGATGTTTTTTTACTGTTTATAAATTTTATAATGTTTTTTTCCTTAGATATAGCTTTATATACCCTTTTAAGGTATTGAATATAAACAGGGAAAACTGACATACATCAGAGTATCAGCTTTAACTGGCAAATAACACGATTTGATTAGGGAAAACCCTGTTATGTACGGAATGACGTTAGGGCCATCGCCTATGAATGGTTTGATCTCAAACGCGATACTCGACAGTACGATGACGAAAACGCGAATTCTCGAAACTACGATGGTGAAAACGCGACAGTACGATGATGAAAACACGATAGTACGATAACGAAAAACGCGATAATACGACAGTACGATGATGATAATACGATAAGCTATCGTGTTTTCATCATCGTACTTTCGTGTTTCACCATCGTAATTTCACGTTTTCATCATCGTACTGTCGTCTTTTCATCATCGTATTATCGCGTTTTCACCATTGTGCTATCGCGTTTTCATCATCGTACTGTCGTGTTTTCATCATCGTACTATCGCGTTTTCACCATCGTACTGTCGTGTTTTTATCATTGAACTGTCGTGTTTTCATCATCGTACTGTCGCGTTTTCATCATCGTACTGTCGTGTTTTCATCATCGTATCATCGCCTTCCGGTGTACATATACATGCTCAGAAGAGAAATTCTTCATGTACAGCAGTATGGACGAGTTTATACAAACTCATTTTTTGAGAAAGGCTATGCCTACAAGGAAATACTTGTGTTATTGAAATCGGGTATGGGGTTAGATATAAGGTGAGCTAGTTTATTTCAGATAATTTGCGATAGTACGATGATGAAAACGCGATAGTACGATTATGAAAACGCGATAGTACGATGATGAAAACACGATAGTACGATGATGAAAACACGGCAGTACGATGATGAAAACGCGATAGTACGATGATGAAAACACGACAGTACGATGATGATCAAAACGCGATAGTACGATGATGAAAACACGACAATACGATGATGAAAATGCGACAGTACGATGATGAAAACGCGATAGTACGATAATAAAAATGCGACAGTACGATGATGAAAACGCGATAATACGATGATGAAAACGCGATAGTACGAGGATGAAGAAAAGACAGTACGATGATGAAAACGCGATAGTACGATGGTGAAAACACGACAGTACGATGATGAAAACGCGATAGTACGATGATGAAAACGCATTTGTACGATGGTTAAAACACGACAGTACGATACTACGATGACGAAAACGCGAAATCACGAAACTACGATGGTGAAAACGCGACAGTACGATGGTGAAAACACGATAGTTTATCGCGTTTTCATCCTCGTAGTATCGTACTGTCGCGTTTTCATCATCGTATTATCGCGTTTTCATCATCGTACTTTCGCGTTTTCACCATCGTAGTTTCGTGATTTCGCGTTTTCACCATCGTACTATCGACTATCGCGTTTCAGATCAATTCATTCATAGGCGATGGCCCTAACGGCATTCCGTAGTTATGAGCACGACATTTCCTGTCCCAGATTTAGCCGACCGAGGTATGATGGACACCATTCTGCTTATATAGCGGCATCTACCAACAAGGTGTTGTTTTGTTTCATACAATGATACTTGTGTAAATGAAATAAGTGGATATTTCCTTGGTGTGGAGTTTTTTCCGGCAGGGTCTTCATATATACATTTGGGAATCATATCTGACCATTTTTAAGCATCAAATTAGCTGTGTGTGAAGCAAATGGTAAGTTACGGAAGTATAAATTTGGGTATTTGACCTGGGCAACTAAATCCATGAACTATGGTAACAAAATATACAAAAGCGAGGTACGGTACGGCTGCGGACTCGAGAATTCGCTCTGACAAACATATTTATCAAATCGAAAGAAGTCATCCTCTCTGTCTGAAAAGTTTACAGAAATTATCAATATACAAAAATTCTTCCAATGACTGCTCTGTCATGTACACGCTTAAATCGACCATCAAAAGGGGGTCACCTAGCTTACATACTTAAGCTATATATGACTTCTTTATTAGACTGCAATGACAAGAGCTTAATTGCACGTTGCATTGTCAAGTACACATCTACAAAATTTAAAGTAATCATGTCCAAAAATTGGTGTCAAAATTGGTCCCGCTCGTGGGGGGGGGGGTCACCTAAATTTTATGGACATGAATAGGAAAATATCTTAAAAGACCTCTACTAAGAACTTACAATGCCAAGAACTTAGATATGTAGCATCATCTTGTGGTATTCTACAAAAATTATATGAATATACCACGGGTCAAAATTGTGTGTTCAAAAATTTTGTAAATGTGCTATTAACAATTTTTAATAGAACATATTTAATTTCGCTGAAAAAAAACCTGGCCTACCATTTATCTCTCAAAACAGAATCAAGTGAAAATAACATTAAATGCCTTCTAAAGAAACGTATTGACCGATAAATAGATTCAAAATATTGAGTACAGTATAGTGGAAGAAATGAAAACTTGTTCCACATACACGCTTGCCTAATGCGCTTCCAGGTTAAAATGCATGTTGTTGTTTTTTGTTTTTTTTGTTGTTTTTTGTTTTTGTTACTCATGACATGACTTAATAATGGTACTCTTGCTGACGACATTTTTTATAAAGGTGGGAATGATGTCATAGGACAGTTTAAATTAATTATTGTATATTTGTATACACTTTATTTTTGGGAAATACAGTCTTATCTACATCCATGTCAACTTTATAAAGCAAAGTGTAAACTACATATGTAGAAACATGTACTTTTATTGCCTCAAATATTTAAGGAGTTAAACAAATTCAAGTACAAGTATTATGTATATACAATCAAGCACATTAACAGAAAAAGTGATCCTAATTATGAATATAGACATCCCCAGTTAAATGTATATACAAATGTACACGTTATAACGGTCAATGTTGGGATTTGTTGACTCATTATCATCCAAAAACACGTGCTTCCGTATTGTTTCCGAGATGATTATTTGTAGTCGGCGAGGTGTTCCGAATCGTACTTGAATATTAGATTTGTCTATAATTTGTAAAACGGAAAATTGTAACCACTTTTTAGTCTGTAGCAACCAGTCATCCAGCACAATGTTCTATTAGTAGTCAGTAATTCATATACTAGAACATAACTTATCTAAACGCATTGCACTTTAAACATAATATATTAAAAAAATGAACAAAAAAATGAAATGAAATAAAAATGAACAATTGACACTAGCAACACAGTTCATTAACACATTGCAAATTAAAAATGGTGATAATTCAATATTATATCATATTATTCGTATATATCACAGAATATAATGGATTACTTGCGTATTGATACAGATATTGTTTATCATTTAACTCATTTTTTAAACGAGTATTGACTGAGAGATATATTTCTACCGTTCTTAAGTTGTAACTGCGTGTTTAATGACAGCACAATCATATCATTAAAATGAATATACTGTGTATAAAAGACAACAACAACAAAATAACATATGGTGTGTTTGTGTCTCCTGAACATTTGATTAAGTGTGAATGGTAAGTTAGTATCTTGCATTTTCAAAAGTAAAGCTCACGTGCAGGTCCATCTGGATTGTTCTAGTCATTTATCTATTCATTTGCTTCGATTAAACATATTTTTATATCATATCCTTATAATATTGAACAACCATACTGACTTTTTATTTCACATTAAAATAATTAAATATTTTTGAAGTATGTGAACACAGATTTAAGGACTCGTGTCAATGTTATGATTCAATGCGGCAAAATTAATCACAAGAATATTAAACTGCATTAATACAATTAATGATCATGCAATACAAAGTAAACCTTAAACCGGTAATTATATGACACAATATTCACCGTCTATATTGTCTATAACGGTGTCATGCTCTCGCGATCTTAGATAGTCAATGATATCTTCATCAGAATCACTATCTTCTGCCTCTTTACTTCTTTTTCTTACGTAATCAGAGACCGTGCGCAATATACCTTGGCGCAACTTCCTCTTGCGTGCATGGTTTCTATAGTTATCCACGCACATCATTCTTAGAATTTTCGGTAATGCGCAAATGAATAAAACTGTGAACACGTGTGAAACAAGTGAAAGGTCTTGAAATTTGTTGAAGGTAATCAATAATTCTACTGATATTGTCAGTATTGTAACAACAGATGTGAATTTCAAAACGGTTATCAATGCTTGATTTCTCCTCGGTAAATGCGTGTCCACGACCATATAGAAAAGTTCCCTTTTTATACCGTATTTATTTCGGATATCATAACACACATTGCTATCTACGTCCGAATCATCGTGATGCCTTGATTGATAGCGTTCGCATACTTCTATACAGAGTTTAAAAAGTTGTCGATAGTTTTCACCGAACGTATTTAAGCTTTCTGTTAAGTAGTAAATGGCCATGAATACAAGAATCAGGTATCCGTAAGATATCCTAGGGTAAGCTATGATGCCACTGTACGTAAACATAAGAATCTTTGATAGAAACCACATTCCATCAAAGAAAAGAAGGCAATACATATACCAAGATATGATAAATAAAACAACCAAAGGTAAAAACAATACATAACGAAGGCATTTCACGAAAGGCTCTCTGTCGTTAAAGAATTTGAAATAATGGATCAGAAATGCTTTCAGCAAAGAAACTGAGCAGTTTACAACCGGAAGTAGGAAGTATAAGACTGAAAAGCATAGTTCTAAAGTGCTAAATACAATATACAAGGGAAGAATAGGAGCGCTTGCTACTGAAGCAATAAAACTACTCTTGAATTTCCGGGTCATTGCTGGAAACACAAACTGCTTCCATCTGATGTAAAACAAATTAAAAGAATATTTCCAAAAGCCACAGTGCAACAGCATAAATATCTGAGCGAGAAAAAGTTTGTGTATTTTGTGATAGCCTTGAGTTTGTTGGATTGATAGGCCTGACCACTTTTCCTTTAACATTAGTGGTATTTTACACAAAAACAGTTCCATTCCCCGCGTTTCATGGAATCCTGCATTTAGAAACTTTTCAAGATCTCTAGGAAACACAATCAGAATACATCCAAAAACAATATAGATGCTTAGCGCAGTGACTGGACCATTGAATATATATAAGAACCGTTCTCTTGCCACACTTGGACCAGCAATTATGGAACTAAAGCCTACAAGAGCTCCTTTCTTTACTGCATCTGCCACAAGATCTTTAGCATAAATGTAATCAACTGTAACACGTATTGTTGAAAGTGACATTGGAAGAATGATAATCCATAGCCGAAGAAGGCGAGAAACAATGGGGCCACTTAGGTCAAACCCGTGCAAAGGATAGCAAATAGTTGAGAGGAAAGTTATAGGATTTGAATTTTTAGTTGATATATACTGATATTTGACATTGCCTTTGCATTGCGTTTCATTGGAACACTCGTCGCTTTCTGCAAATGTTGTCATGCTTCGCACGTGTAATGCGTTTTTGTTCTTTTTTATTCCATTTGATATTTTCTTTACTTTCATGCCCATTTTTGTCAACAATAGGGGACAAAATGCAAAACAAGTTTCCCCTATGATAATCGGTAGCATCCACCATAGTGCTCCGAACTCATAGTGCTCTTTTCCACATTGAATCTTCCGATCCCTTGTTATGAAATCAATATAATATTTGCAGCAACGGTATTCAAATGTTTGAAATGTGCAGACTGAATTCTCGCAACCATAATAAATGTACCATTCACGTAACCAGACACGTGTGTTATAACACCAGTAACTAGAGTTATAATTATCGTTCATTTTAGCAATATTTGAAGTCATTTCCCCAAATGCATTGCCGATCAGGCTGTCTGTTCTATTTCTTCCAATTCTAAGTTCGCCGCATTCACCGGTCTTATTTATGTAAATTGGTATACTTTTCCGGCGGGTATAAGACCACAGTAATCCAAATGAAAGATAACCGAAATCACCTGGAAGGTAGAGATATTGATGTGCACCATTTTCACCTTTGTATGTCCAAATCCAATCATCCTTGGTGATCACTTCGTTTGTTTCATTAATATCAAAATTTATAAAATTCAACTTGAGATGAACAAAGTTATATCTGTGTTTCAGAATCTCGTGTGTAAACAACTTTTCAGACCGATCTTGAATTATCAACTTACAGTTATTAGTTTCTTCTCCATAATCTTCTTTTTGAAAAGTGGAATGCTCTGCTGCATACGGGATATCCTTTACAGGTACTTCGTTCCTATCTGTGGCCTTTAATAATTGTCTTTTAAGATTGTATAAGCCCCGAGCACTTATAAAGCATTGTTACGAGAATAAGAACTAGATATATATGAATATTATATCCCATTATAGATATGTTACTGGAAATCCTGGTTCGCTGTGTGAAATGTTAAATATCGTTTTGACTTCAACAATGTCTATCTGAAAATATATGAAGAAAATACAATTTTAAAACAAAAAAAGCGCCATACTTCCTTTAAATGTGCACGTTATCTGTAGCCCCCTCCCCCCAATACCCTGGTCTGCATAAACAGACTGTATAAACTGGCTCTCCGCCACAAATGCCCCGGTCGTTGCGGACTACTGTGCATTTGACTGGTACATACCTATAATATGTAACAATATTCAGTTATCCTTTACAAGCGCGCACAATATATTGTGAATATTAGATGATAATTCCATTACAACAAATTTGATAATCAGACAAAGTCCCTAGTCTCGTTTTTTTTTTAATTCTTACACAAAATCTTCCTTTATCCTCCTTTTATACCATTCCATATATGCTATACCGTCAAAATAATTCGTTTTCCTAAAATATTATATTACTAAAGAGGAATTTAAATTTCTGCTCTTCAAAAATCCCCACTGAAACTGAGTAATGTGTTTGCAATAAAAACGTTTGTTACAAATTTATCTTCCTGCTTCCGTATTCGTTGCGTTATTCTTCAACTGGGTCATATTCTGCCGGTTTTACAAAAAGAATATAATTACCGTTTTAATGTAGAGCGTATATAAGTGTTAAATGAATAACATGACTACAATTCATGAAAATAACCACCGATTTCTGACGCATCGTGCGTGCACAGACCATGCAAAAATACCAGAGACGAAATTTTATTCGCGTCATATTATAATGTTTCATCCTTGTAAGGTTATTTAAAAATGTACTTGAAGTTAAAGGTTACCTGAAATAATGAAAGGGGGTCGAACATATACAGGTACGATACTTTCTTTAAGCGATGTGAAAAGGTAAGATACGGAGTAATGGCGAACTTTAGCATGTGCTGTAACTGATTTTGCGTCGGTAAAAAAAAAGTCATAAGATCGGAGCCAATGTTAGTTGCTTTTTACATGCAATTTATGTAAATACTCATTATTGAGTTGGATACCAAATACTTTTGTGCAAAGATATTTATTGCAAATATTATTGTGTACGATGGGTTTTGGTACGATATGATAACTGTACGCTACAAAAGGTTCGATAATTTTGACAGTGCTAATAACTACTTAAAACTACATTGTATATTACATTAATAATCTTCTTTAATTGACTTAGGATCTTGCAGAAAAGTTTTCAGTGTTCTTACTGTTTCTTCTTGTGGCTGACGTCATTTACCTTGCTAATATTTGTAAATATTTACATGATTTTTTCACCTTTATTTCAATAATTATCTTCATTATTTACCTTGTAAATTCCCCTTTTCCATTTAAAATGGAGAAAATGACTTCAAATTCTATGCAGTTTACCGAAGTGAAAAAGTTTTTACTAAAATATTTCAGAATCCATGAACTTGATGTCAGAGCACAAGGTTAAAAAGAAGAAGAAATGAGTTCTAAGGCAGTTTAGAAAAAGTAAACCTTAATGGGGTGCGGTGCAATGCGTTATCTAGAATGCGTTACAAGGTTGAAGAAAAACAGACATTGTCTTTGTTAGTGTTAGGATAAACCGAGGGCGAGGTTTTTAGTACATCAAAATAAAGAATTTGATGGTTTTTGATAATTTAATTTTGATTTAGACAAACATCTCAAACAATAGTGAAATAATTATAAAGCCTCTTGTTTGTGTTATGATTTTTTTTTTATATTTTTTATATAAAATTATTATAAAATCTTGATATATATTGTTTTCTCTCTCATTGTCTGGCTCACTTTTGGAATGTCCTGGTGAAAATGCCCTTTAATTGCCGCTAAATATCATACACCATTTTTCACATACATACGTGCTTAATTGAGACTTTCCTCTGGCAAGACTTTCAAAATAAAAGAATATATTTCATACTAAGGTATTTGTTAAATAGTGCGTGTCACACACATTCCACAATCTTTAGCACCCATATTAGATCCTATATGTCTTGTTCCTCCGCCATCATGCATTCCACCTTGGTAAAAAAGTATCGTACCTCTACCCTGCCTACAATACGGAACAATACGGCAAGTAACAGATTATATACATTTTCAAATGCAACCGGAAGCAGGCCTTGTAGGATAGATTAGATTGAAAGACAGCGTTTCCCTTGCAATGCCTACAATGAGTACAGGGGGTGACAGTACATGCGACCCAGTTATTCTTGCAACTGCAGGATATGATCACACAATTCGCTTTTGGCAAGCTCATAGCGGTATTTGCTATCGAACCGTTCAACATCCAGATTCTGTATCCTTCTGCCAAGTTCTGGGTTTATAAATTTCTCAAAATCAAATTGGCTAGATTTTAGAATCTGTCCGCAGCTACTTTTAACATTATGATTTTACCCAATATTATTTTTCAGTATTTATGTTTCTGTACAAAACCACTGACATTTTTTCTAGGGTTACTGTCATCGGTTATAAAAAAATTGGATTTTGCTGAGGACATGCAGATTCTAAAATAGTCCAACTAATTGTACTGCGTGACGGAGCACCCTATTTAATCATATCTAGCCACCAAATGTGAAATTTACGCTCACATTTATATGGATGACTCCGTCACTGATGGTTCTGACAGAGTGTATTATTTAAATTCGTCCAGGGCTGTCCTAGAGTCATCACTCTTACTAAGTATGTCTGATAGTTTCAGCAAATGTTCTTTCAGAAGAAAACAGTTGGATTATATTTTCAAATTTTTTGAACATCAAAGTATATTTAATCTAATCATGGTTGATTGACTTGCATAAATAGCTTTGATTTTGTTAATCCCACTGTGTGAGACTCCTGGAAAATGTTAATTTAATAAAGAAATTGTTAGTTGATAAAATCAGAATGATCAGAAATGATAATTTATATTATCCTAATGTCCAGGTATATTTTTTGTGCATACACTTGAATGCAAACAGATAACTTGAATGCATTAAGTTGAAAATCTATGGGTATAGGGACATAGAATTCTGCATCCTGTAAAACCCTGACATAAGCATTCTTATTGCCATTTCTTGGGTATGACTTAATACCAAATATGAGTGATATCCGCGGATATCACTATAAATACCGAATATGACCTATATTTTACAAAGTAATAATTTTTTTATAAATTTTTCTTGATACTATGTTTTATAATAATAAAATGAATTTACATGCAAAATTGCGTTAAATTTGGTCCATAAATAAAAAAGTTATAAGTTATATTCGAATTACGTTCTATAAAAGTCATGTCCGTGGCGGACAGGAGATACCGAATATGACTTATTTTTTATGAATTGATTAATTTTTTTATGATTATTTCTCGATACGATGTTTTATAATAATATAATTATTTTACATGCAAAATATCGTTAAATTTGGTCCATAAATAAAAAAGTTATAAGTTATATTCGTTGCGTTTTCTATAACAGTCATATCCGTGAAGGACAGAAGATACCGAATATGACCTATATTTTACAAAGTAATTATTTTTTATATTTTTTTTTCTTAATAAGATGTATTAAAATAATAAAATAAATTTACATTCAAAATTTCGTTAAATTTGGTCCATAAATAAAAAAGTTATAAGTTATATTCATTGCGTTTTCTATAAAAGGCATATCCGTTGCGGACAGAAGATACTGAATACGCCTTATTTTTTATAAATTGATTATTTTATTATTTATTTTTCTTGATACGATGTTTAATAATAATAAAATGATTTTACATGCAAAATATCGTTAAATTTGGCCAATAAATAAAAAAGTTATAAGTTATATTCGAATTACGTTCTATAAAAGTCATAACCGTTGCGGACAGAAGGTACCGAATACGACTTATTTTTTATAAATTGAATTTTTTTTCTCGATACTATGGTTAATAATAATATGATGTTTTTACATGCAAAATATCGTTAAATTTGGCCAATAAATAAAAAAGTTATAAGTTATATTCGAATTACGTTCTATAAAAGTCATATCCGTTGCGGACAGAATATACCGAATACGACTTATTTTTTATAAATTGATTATTTTATTATTTATTTTTCTCGATACTATGGTTAATAATAATATTATGTTTTTACATGCAAAATTTCGTTAAATTTGGTCAATAAATAAAAAAGTTATAAGTTATATTTATTGCGTTTTCTATAAAAGGCATGTCCGTTGCGGACAGAAGATACCGAATATGACTTACATTTTATAAATTGATTGTTTTATTATTTATTTTTCTCGATATGATGGTTTATAATAATAAAATGTTAAATGCAAAATATCATTAATTTTTGTCAATAAATAAAAAAGTGTTATGTTATATTCGTTGCGTTTTCTATGAAAGGCATATCTGTTGCGGACAGAAGATACCGAATATGACTTATATTTTATAAATTGATTGTTTTATTATTTATTTTTCTCAATATGATGGTTTATAATAATAAAATGTTAATGCAAAATATCGTTAATTTTTGTCAATAAATAAAAAAGTTATATGTTATATTCGTTGCGTTTTCTATGAAAGGCATTTCGTTGCGGACAGATACATATATATATTTTACAAAGTAATATTTTTTTTATAACTTTTTCTTGATACGATGTTTTATAATAATAAAGTGAATTTACATGCAAAATTTCGTCCATAAATAAAAAAGTTATAAGTTATATTCGTTGCGGTTTCTATAACAGTCATATCCGTGAAGGACAGGAGATACCGAATATGACATATGTTTTTTAAAGTTTCTGATTTTACTTAGAACTGCTAACAGAATAAAATTACATGCCAAAAAATGGTTCAATTTGATACATAAATAAAAAAAATTAAATGTCATATCCGTTGCATGTTCTAAATGAAGTCATATCCGTAGCGGAAAGAAGAAACCGAATATGACTTTGTAAGTTACATATATTAATTGCACGCTCTGTATAGAAGTCATATCCGTGGTGGACTGAAGATAGCGAATATGACTTTTATTCTATAAATTGATTTTTGTTTTATGATGTTTTCTTGATACGATGTTATATGATGATACAATGATTTTACACGTAAAATAATTTTTATGCCACCGCACCATCTGCGATGCGGTGGCATATAGCGATTCATCTGTGTGTGTGTTTGTTTGTGTGTGTGTGTGTTATATAGATTATATAGTGAACTTAAAAAATCTTCTTGTGAAAAACAATTTGTCCAATTTCAACCAAACTTGGCAGGATTGATCCTTGGGTGAAGGGCTTCCAAAGTTGTTCAAAGAATTTCATTCCATGCAGAAATCTGGTTGCCATGGTAACCAAAAGGAATTATAAGAATAAATTAAAAAAATCTTCTTGTAAAGACCCAAAAGGCCTAGAGCTTAGATATTTTGCATAAGGCATTGTCTGGTAGACCTCTACCAAGATTGTTCAAATTATAACCCTGGGGTCAAAATCGGCCCCGCCCCGGGGGTCATTGATTTTCACTATATGTACATATAGTAAAAACTTAAAATAACTTGTTGTAAAGACCCAAAAGGCCTAAAGCTAAGATACTTTGCATAATGCATTGTCTGATAGACCATTACCAAGATTGTTCAAATTATAGCCCTGGGGTCAAAATCGGCCCCGCCCCGGGGGTCATTGATTTTCACTTTATGTACATAAAGTAAAAACTTAAAATACCTTCTTGTAAAGACCCAAAAGGCCTAGAGCTTAGATATTTTGCATAAGGCATTGTCTGGTAGACCTCTATTCAGATTGTTCAAATTATAGCCCTGGGGTCAAAATCGGCCCTGCCCCGGGGGTCATTGGTTTTCCTTATATGTATATAGTAAAAACTTTATAGTAAAAAAATTCTTCTAGCAATTGACAAATGCTAGAGGTTAGATATTTTGCATGAAACATTGTGAAGTGAACTTCAACAAGATTGTTCAAATTATAGCCCTGGGGTCAAAATCGGCCCTGCCCCGGGGGTCATTGTTTTTCCTTATATGTATATAGTAAAAACTTTATAGTAAAAAAATTTCTTCTAGCAATTGACAAATGCTAGAGGTTAGATATTTTGCATGAAACATTGTGAAGTGAACTTCTAGCAAGATTGTTCAAACTATAGCCCTGGGGTCAAAATTGCCCCTGCCCCGGGGCAGTAATTTTCTCATTATGTTCACATAGTAAAAACAGAAAATAAAACAAATCTTTTCTGAATGGGAGAAAGCTACAGCTTAGATATTTGACTTGAAATGTTGTTTGGTGGACCTGTATCAAGATTGTTTTGAATTAAACCCTTGGGGTCAAAATTTTGCCTTGCCCAAGGGGACAGTGACCTACTTTCTTGTCCTTTGATGTACAGCAATGAAATTTTGACCATTAGCACAGTTTTAGTTGTAAAATTGAACTTTGATGTCAGGTGACCTAGATTTTGATGATGTGACCTACTTTCTTGTCCTTTTATGTACAGCTTTAAAATTTGAACCATGTGTACAGATTAAGATGTTAAGTGAACTTTGTTTTCAGCTGACCTAGATTTGGACAAAGTGTCTTACTGTGTTGTCCTTTGATGTAGTCATGAAATTTAGGCTGTGTGAAATATGACCATCAAATTCACTAGACTCAAGTGAATTGATATATTCCTACTCTGATCTTTTATTGAGTTAACAACAGATTTAACCACTAGTCTGATAATAAGAATTAGATAGGTCAGGGATCTATGCATTATGACAATCTTCAAAATTGTATAGAAACAAAAAAAAATCTGTTTCTACACTACTATTTAGTGTTGTATTAATGCGGTGGCATAGCATTTTTCTCAAATGCAATCTTGTTTTATTTATTGACAAAAATTAACAATATTTTGCATTTAACATTTTATTATTATAAACCATTGTATCGAGAAAAATAAATAATAAAATAATCAATTTATTAAATATAAGTCATATTCGGTATCTTCTGTCCGCAACATATATGCTTTCATAGAAAACGCAACGAATATAACATATAACTTTTTTATTTATTGACAAAAATTAACGATATTTTGCATTTAACATTTTATTATTATAAACCATTGTATCGAGAAAAATAAATAATAAAATTATCAATTTATTAAATATAAGTCATATTCGGTATCTTCTGTCCGCAACAGATATGCTTTCATAGAAAACGCAACGAATATAACATAACTTTTTTATTTATTGACAAAAATTAATGATATTTTGCATTTAACATTTTATTATTATAAACCATCATATCTTGAAAAATAAATAATAAAATAATCAATTTATAAAATTTAAGTCATATTCGGTATCTTCTGTCCGCAACGGATATGACTTTGATAGAAAACGCAACAAGTATAACTTATAACTTTTTCACTTATTGACCAAATTTAACGAAATTTTGCATGTAAAAACATCATATTATTATTAACTATAGTATCGAGAGAGAAAAAAAATCAATTCATAAAAAAATAAGTCGTATTCGGTATCTTCTGTCCGCAACGGTTATGACTTTTATAGAACGTAATTCGAATATAACTTATAACTTTTTTATTTATTGGCCAAATTTCACGATATTTTGCATGTAAAAATCATTTTATTATTATTAAACATCGTATCAAGAAAAATAAATAATAAAATAATCAATTGATAAAAAATAAGTCGTATTCAGTATCTTTTGTCCGCAACGGATATGCCTTTTATAGAAAACGCAACGAATATAACTTATAACTTTTTTATTTATTGACCAAATTTAACGATATTTTGCATGTAAAATCATTTTATTATTTTTAAACATCGTATCAAGAAAAATAAATAATAAAATAATCAATTTATAAAATTAAGTCGTATTCGGTATCTTCTGTCCGCAACGGATATGCCTTTTATATAGAAAACGCAATGAATATAACTTATAACTTTTTTATTTATGGACCAAATTTTACGATATTTTGCATGTAAAAACATAATATTATTATTAACCATAGTATCGAGAAAAATAATAATAAAATAATCAATTTATAAAAAATAAGTCGTATTCGGTATCTTCTGTCCGCAACGGATATGACTTTTATAGAACGTAATTCGAATATAACTTATAACTTTTTTATTTATTGGCCAAATTTAACGATATTTTGCATGTAAAATCATTTTATTATTATTAAACATCGTATCAAGAAAAATAAATAATAAAATAATCAATTTATAAAAAATAAGTCGTATTCGGTATCTTCTGTCCGCAACGGATATGCCTTTTATAGAAAACGCAATGAATATAACTTATAACTTTTTTATTTATGGACCAAATTTAACGAAATTTTGCATGTAAATTTATTTTATTATTTTAATACATCGTATTAAGAAAAAAAAATATAAAAAATAATTACTTTGTAAAATATAGGTCATATTCGGTATCTTCTGTCCTTCACGGATATGACTGTTATAGAAAACGCAACGAATATAACTTATAACTTTTTTATTTATGGACCAAATTTAACGATATTTTGCATGTAAAATAATTATATTATTATCAAACATCGTATGGAGAAATAATCATAAAAAAATTAATCAATTCATAAAAAATAAGTCATATTCGGTATCTCCTGTCCGCCACGGACATGACTTTTATAGAACGTAATTCGAATATAACTTATAACTTTTTTATTTATGGACCAAATTTAACGCAATTTTGCATGTAAATTCATTTTATTATTATAAAACATAGTATCAAGAAAAATTTATAAAAAAATAATTACTTTGTAAAATATAGGTCATATTCGGTATTTATAGTGATATCCGCGGATATCACTCATATTTGGTATTAAGACATACCGCCATTTCTTTTCAATGTTCAATAAGTAGCAATATGATTAATCTCTCTATGGTGAAAAATAAGGATGATCAATGAATTGAAATTTAAACTTGATTAAAGTTTCCTTAATGAATCCAAGCAAGTAAATGCTCTTGAAATCACTCCTGACAAACAGCTTATAGCAGCGGCAGGTATGTTAATTTATTATCATTTTATATTATGTTAACAATACTGTCATTATAGTTTATACTGTCAATGTCCTAAGCACTGCTAATACCCATTTTTAATTCTCCTGTCTAGAGTGTCATGTGCTAGCCTTGATTTTGTTAATATGTTTGTCAAGAAAGTTAAAATTTTATCCTGAACATTTGCTCAGACAAATGTATGTAGGATAAAAGACTTACAGATTTAAAATTTTTACAAAATTTATGTACACAAGATCTGGTTTATGTTCGGATGATTTAACATTTGAAAGTGATCAAACAATCATAAGTTGAGAAAAAAGGATAATGTATATCAAATATTCAATTTTATCAATTTATTTTTTCTTTTTAAATTTTTTGTAGAGCCATTGTTTGTGATATATACTGTAAGGTTGAGGGTACTGTTTGATGAGGAGATGATTTAAAGATTTGTTATTTTGCCATATATTCTAGGATACCAGCATATACGAATGTATGACCTGAACTCAAACAATCCAAAGCCTGTAGTAAATTATGATGGAATTAGTAAAAATGTTACAGCCGTAGGTTTTCATGAGGAAGGAAAATGGATGTACACAGGTGGGGAAGATAATTCTGCAAGGATATGGGATTTGAGGTAAGTTTAACAACAAGATTCATGTACCTGGTTAGTTCATAATATAATTTTAAGATGAAGTTTTTCTTTAAAAAAAAGTTGTCATCTGTGGCTGTCAATGTTTGTTATCAACAATTTCATTAAACAACATCTCTGATTAACCAAACTACACAGGAATGATCCTTGATCCCGATGAAGCCGAATTATATTTATTTTGATATAATATTTGGTGACAGACTCAAGATAGCGCAATGAAGTTCAATGACTTTGTTTAGCAATTCTGAAATGGTGGTCTTCTGTTTTACAGGTCACGAAATTTACAATGCCAGAGGATTTTCCAAGTCAATGCTGCTGTGAATTGCATATGTTTACATCCAAATCAGGTAAAGAAGTTCTTCTTTCTTCATCTTATTCACATTTATTTGATAACTAGTGTTGTGATTTGATTGCTTAGACAAATGACTTTGTTAATGGAATGCTTGAGTCATAACTGGGTAAATATATTACACAAATTCAGGGTGAAAGCTGCACACCATCTTATTACATTTACAGGGATCAAAAAAAAAGATCACTAGTACTGCATTTTGTGATAAACTTCGCCGATGCAATAGACCACTGGAATTCTCATAAATAGTTTGTTTACTTTACTTTTAAGAATGGAAGACCAGAAAAAAAAGCTTGTGTTTAAGGTTATGTATAAATCATGCATTGAGTTTATAGAGCATTGTCTGCCACATTCCAGTGACACCCGTATCAAATTACAATGCAATCAGAGCTTTATAAAGTGCTTTAGGTTATGTATAAATTGTGCACTTTATAAATCTTTTATCACTCTTTGTTCACTTTCAAGAACTTGTATTTGAACAATTTTCTAAAATAAAAATGAAAATTTTCATGTACCTGTAGGAAGGGCAGTCTTCAAGCGAACATACGCTATGTCTTTTACTATTGATACAACTAAACCTAATTTTTGTTTACAGGGAGAATTATTTATTGGTGATCAGAGTGGATCAATACATGTGTGGGATCTGAAAACTGACAAAAATGAGCAAATGGTAAAACTTACGTTATAACTACTGGTATTTTGTTCACCATCTTTAGAGCAAAATTATTTTTGCTAAGTATAAGTTTTAGCTTAAATCTGCATGGTTTGTATGTTATTCTATAGTTAATATTAAAAAAAAAATGTTAGTGTTATGTTGATCATTTTCTGTTTCATCATTTGAGATATTTGTATATTTTTGACTGACTTTTTTGGTTAAGATCGATAGATCACAGAAAATGATGTAAAGTTTAACAGAAGAAGAAAAGAAAAGCCAGTTTAATCATTGAATCATGAAATTTAACTTACCTTTATGTTTTTTAATGCAGTTGATTTATACAATTGAACTACTTACCATTTACCTATTACTAACGAATATATGTGGCATATTGTATGAACAATTCTATTCTACAGATACCAGAAACAGATGCCTCCATTCAATCTATTAGCATAGATCCAATGGGAACAATGATGGCGGCAGTAACAAATAAAGTAAGGATATTTTTGAGCCATAATTTAGCAGTTTTTACCTTTAGACAAGTTGAATTCTTCGTTAAAAAGTTATGATCACATTTTTGCAAATACCCTAGTTCCTTTTGTGCTAGTTCTAAAGTTTAATAGTTATTTGTTCTTTGTAATAATATATTTAATGGATAGAAGTGTGTGTTTCTGATAAAATTTTCTATTTTATTAGCTCACTGAGCACATGATCCCTATTGAAGTACAGTACAAAAAATTCATAAATCATTAATTTTACTCCATTGAACAAGATGGTCTAAAGAGCTAGAAATGAAAACTGTTAATGACAGCTGAATGGCAGATTTTCATGGAACAGGATTAAAGAATGTTTTTTGGGTGGTACTTATTAAAAACCTGCTGAGACAGTTCCAGGTAGCTGTACATGATGACAGACTTAAAATAGCTTTAAATGACATCTCCTAAATAGTTGTACATGTTTTAATGAATCTTAATACATGTAGGAATGATAGGAATGATCCTTTGGTGGTACTGTAAAAAAATAACTAAAGATAAGATTTGATTTGCTGAATCAGAATGAGATGGCTTGTTATGCTTATAATAGTTATAAGCTTGAAACAAGTTAACCCTTGTCTAAATGTAACTTTATTTTTGGCTGGTTTCTTAGATAAAGTTATCATAAAACAATAGTAAAGTGTAAAAATTACAATGCTTATCTTACAGGGAAAGTGCCATATATGGAGATTGACTGGAGGTAGAAGAGATGAACCAACACAGCTACATCCAAAGTCTGATATTACAGTTAGCTCTAGATATGCCCTTAAATGCCTCTTTAGTCCTGATTCTACGTAAGAGATATTTGTTTTTTTGCCTGTATTATTGTTTTCTTTGGATGATGATGGAAACATCTTTAACATCTTTTTTTTCACCTACTTTTATTCATTAAAAAAAAAAGATGTTAATGTGTGGCATCTGTGGCTAAGTGATTTAGGCTGTTGACTTAAAACCACATGCCCGTAACTACTGTGGGTTTGAATCTCGTCATGGACTTTGGATTCCTCTGTTAGCTTACGGAACATTGGTTGATCTATTCAGATGCCTATTTGTGCCTGAAATAATGCAAGAAGTGGCACCTACCTAAGATCTTCCTCCACCAGTAAAGATGGAAAGATACACTATGACCTTTACAGTGTTGGTGTGACATAAAACCAAACCGAACAAAACAACAACCAAAGCAATTGAAAAGTGAAAATTAAGTTTTGCTGCACATTGTCCTGTAACATTCTTCATGTGTAAACATATTTGAGAGAATCATACAAGTACTAACATTCGATTTTTATAGGTTATTAGCAACAACATTAGCAGATAATTCCGCCAAAATCTGGAAAACAGCTGACCTTACATTGCATACAGAACTTAAAGAAAATTCTCAGAGATGGGTATGGGATTGTGCATTTAGTGGAGACTCGCAGTATATTATCACAGGTAAACAATAATGTTATATTTAATTAAGGTGAAAAAGGCATATTAGTTAAAGTTAAATGAATTTATTCTTGATTCTTCTTCCTGATCTAATTGGTGCTATTTAGTCATATGAGGAAATGATGGCTATGATCTGAGATAAACTTATTCGGGTGCATACAATTATAATTTTAGAATACATAACGCACAAAGGGGCACCTGAGGTCTTCCTTCACCAGTAAAGCTGGAAAATTGCCATATGACCTATACTGTGTTGGTGCGACATAAAAAAAATATCATAAAATATAAAATCATCATTAAATAAACCTCACTCCTGTGTTATATGTTTGATCCACTTGATTCATTATCTATTAAATACAATCATGAGTATTAACCATGTCATTTGAAGATTGTGGGACAGATGTCTAAACATGAAAGCCTGTGCTACTTTTAACATTATAGTACTACCTCAAAATGGATAAATTCTTTTTGATTGTTCTTCAGTACTTTCAATGTCTGAAAATATTTGGAAGCATCTAAGTATTCATATTGGCTACATCTTAGTTTGATAAGACCCTAATCATAATTGGTTTCAATAATGACTTTTAGCATATTGAATCCTTTTATGTGAAGTTGATACCAAGATATATTATTGAAAGTCAATGGATATTTATATACATATATACTAAAATGCCTGTGTGTCTGCCCAAAGAAGTATGTTATGGAACATTTCTGGGGTCTTTCTTAAGAAGTTTTAATAGAAGCAAACTATCACAAGACTTGTTAAACATTGGTGTGATTTAAGAAGCCAGCCAAAAAATAGAAATTTGACCAACTTGTCTTGTACATTTTACATTATAATGGTTTCTTTTTTCATGAAAATTATTTAAAGCTCAATACAATGTATTTGTTTGGTTTTGACAGCATCTTCAGATAACATGGCGAGGTTATGGAGTGTGGATACTGGAGAGGTGAAGAAGGAATACAGTGGTCATCAGAAGGCTGTGGTCTGTTTGGCGTTCAGAGACGAGTCTATACAGTGAACACAAGTAAACTGTTTCATACGGTTATGATGCAATATTACTTAAAACAATGTCAAGATCAGTTCAAATAGTTTGAACTGCTGCATGCTCGTTTATGTACTTTGAGTATTTATTATATAGATGTAAGTTTAGACATCACTAAAATTGAGGAAATCAGAATTAAATGGATTACCGTATTGGATATTTTGAAGGAATTATGCTTAAATTTGTTATTTGAGCGATGAATTGAATCAAGTCATTTTAACCAGTATTACAATTTCTCATATAGTGATAAATAGGAGACATTCATACCTGGGATTTACTGTGATAGTGATAAAAGTGAGTTCTTACACAGGAGAGATAGCAAAGTTGTTAAGTATTACTGATATATTTGAAGTTACTTCACAAACTAATTGTGAACAGTTATAAGACGTAAGCCAAGCTATATCACTAGTGTGTGTGCTTGTATATAATACAAGGGCGATGATAGTAAATTAAGAATACAATGACATGTTAAAAATCACTTTGTTCATTATAAACAGTTGTTTGTTACAAAGGTGCAAGATAATATACATCATATTGTAGTAAGAGATGAATAGTCTACTCATCTTTTCTGGTTTATGAGAAAATGATTTTATTTATGTATAAAAGTGTATATCAATTGGAAAAAAAAATCCATACTGTCTATGGGATTATCAAAAATATATTTCACTCACATTATAACTTAAAATACTGGATTCTTCCTTATAGTGACAGTAGTACTGATGATTAATTTCTTATTCTTTTTGTTGATTTTCTCACAGTCTTTTTAAATTGTTAATTATTAAGTTTTTTTTATATGGCAAGATACAAGTCGTTATAATAACTAAGTTATTGAAGAGGTATAAATTCCAAATGAATATAGTTAATCTTTGAATCAAATCCTCTGATAATGTAATTCTGACTTTACCCTTTCTCCTATCTCAGAGTCAGCATTGTCATTATCAGTAACACATTGGTAAGATTTAACTTACACTTGACATCTCTTTAAATGCTGGAGGTATTTAGGGAATTTCGTGGGTTATCTACCCAATTTGATAGTAAAGGTGACTCTGTTTTTGAAAATGTCCAACAGGCTGATACATTTGGATTATTACACCATACAGTAGATACATCCAAGATAGTTACATCCAGTGTTGTTTACAATTGGTAAATGAATGTGTTAAATCATGCCTAAAAACAATTGTTATGGTGCCAAGAGAGATCAATTTCTTAGATTAGAAAATTGTAAATGTTTAGCTGCTTGTCATTAAATGGGAAAACTCAACCATAAAATGGGAAAACTCTACAGTAAAATGGGAAAACTCTATGTTTTTTATCATGGAATTAAAAAGTCTTCTTAAAAACCACGTGTCCATTTTCAACCAAATTTGCCAGGACAGTTTCTTGGGTGAAGGGCTTCCAAAGTTGTTTCAATAATAGGAATAATAAGAAGAAACTTGCTTACGCTCTCAATTAGAGTATGGGCTATAGTCCTAGTATTTTATGGAAAAATATAATAAAAAAGTCTGAATTACATACACACCTCCATGATAAAACAGATGAGATGGTTATTCACGTCTATTAAAATCCTCTGATGGTGGTACCGGTAGACAAAATTTGCTGACATTTCTCACTATATGCCACTTAATGAAGGCAATTAATGACCAATAAGTGGATTTTTTGATGTTCTTTGGTATGGTGTTCTCAAGCCGTTCACATTATCTCACCATCTTTCAGGCTGTCAAAATGATTAGAACGTTCCAAATTTTCAGTTTTTATGACCTTATCACAAGACTTTTGTTCAGAAAGTATAAGTCAAAACAGCAATGGTATATCTATTACTTATCTTACATACTTTCCATGAAACAATGTCTAGTGGACCTCTACCAAGATTTTTCAAATTTATCACCTGAACATCCAAATTGGACATTGTATGACAAGTTTTCTGTGTAAAGATGTTCTGTTTGAAAAAATCTCTAGAGCATTACCTGTTATATAATTAGGATAGGAAGATATAATATCCCAGAAATTAACTATGTCCGTTTAGCTATCACTTTCTTCCTTGTCTGAGGATGTTGAGCTTGCTGAGGTTGACGTTTCTTCTTCATCGTTGGATTAAAAACATCAATACATTTTATTTAATAAACATACCATGTCTTGTAATTTGTCATTAAATTTTAAATATGATTGTATTGTACTGATTTGTATCGTTTCTTTCTTCTTTGTGTGGAAATGTTAAGTGGTTTCAAATGGGCATGTTATTTTGGATTCTTGACTAAATTTTATGTTGAAGTTCCCTTGCTTCTTTAGGGATGGAATTGTTCCAGTTTGTTCTAGGAAAACGGCATTTCAGAAATTTATTTAACGTAAGTTAGAGAAAATATCAATTGCAACCTCAATGTATACATATGTGTATTACTCAATGTCAATGCATTCCTTCTCCTCGCTGCAGCTTTGTGATTTCTTCCAAATTGTAGCCTTTGATGTAAATTTATTATAAGCTATAACTGTTCTTACAGTATAATCCACTAAATGGATTTTATGGATGATCCTACAGTGGTCCTTTACAAAGTTATATAAATGGTTCCAGTCTGATGCATAGGTAGGTCACATGAGCTAAAAATAGACTTTAAATTATGAGATCTTTAAAAATCTTCTTCACTTGTTAGTCCATAATTTTACTAGATATTCCAGGGCTCATCCGGAAGGGCGATTCAGGCGAAAACTTCGCCGTGTATATTCCAATTTCGCTCTTCCGATTGATCAAAGAGAAGTTCAACATCGCCGATAAAATCTTAATTCCCAAATAGTAATTACTTAGCGATGTAAAGAGCAGAGATTGTATCCGCCCATATGACGACCGCTAATTATCATTATCCAATCAGAGCGTCGCTTTATACTACCCTTCTACCTGTAAGCGAAGCGATAGACCGCCTACTCTAAACAGTAAATAATGAGAGCATCGGCCCGAAACGGTATAATTGTGTTGTGTTTAATACGGGATTTGGCGATAATTATACATTGTTTTTCCCCGATTATCTAAACACGTGCAATCTTCCCTAATTGATACACACGATGCACTTCGATGGTGGGTTTTTAACCCGAGTAAAGGCGATGTGCAATGGATTTTTCACGGCTATCACAAAACTGATAGTCAATTAAAAATAATCAATTTCGACCGGATTAAAAACTTAATCATAGTTTTGAATGATTTCAGTCTGTTAACATCAAATTTTTACTGTAAAATTGTTATGTCGCTCACGTTATGGCTACAGGGCGAAATGCCCAAACCTAGCAGTAAAAGAAAGTTACTGATTCTGATACACCTACGCGAAAATTTAAGAAAACCATTTCGCAAAAATCTTGCGATTGGTATGTTGTAGGCAGTGGGGGTGTTTGGCATTGTTGCCAAATTTGACACAGTTTACGCACGTGGGCTAAACTACATATCGGTCGTATATCATGTAACGTATATTACAATAAAAATTTGTCAAGAAGAAGAGTTCTTATTGTTTCAATATACATATTTGTTTTTATGTCGTAATATGACGCTCAGATTAAGATTTATCAATATTGTAAGTTTTAAAAAGCATTATTTATAAAGATATTACCGAATTTAACATTTCATGAAAATAAAGGGAGGTAATTAGAAATTAATTTTCTACAATTTCTCAGTCAAATTTTTCAATAAGAAATGAATATATGTAATTTTAGTGATCAAATATAATGTGCACAAATGTTTGCAGTACATATTTTACATACTCTTTGATGTTTGAAAATTGTTTTATAAGCATAATTATATGCATATAAATCTGACATTACAACATTCAGGACTTTCAAAGAAATTTCTGTTACCAGAACAGAATAGAACAGATTTTATTAATCAATATCCAAGGTGACTTCATCTTCTAATAAAAGTGAGGAAAGAAAAAATATGAAATTGATTTTATCATCATATCTTTTCTTACACATTATTATCAACAAATGTACATGAAAATATATAAACACATATTTAGAGAAAGCTTATAAATAGCTGATCAATAGATCATATTTGCAGCTCAAAAACATTTAGATGCCATTGCCAGATGTACTACTAATTAATCTACTTTTAATTAATACTACTATTAATTAATCTAATACTAATTAATAAACTGGGGAAATATTATAAGTGATGTTAATTGTGTTTATATTATAATTAAAGGATGTATAGCCATGCATGTTAATGCATACACATTGGGTTGTTTCCCTTCTCCCTAATTTTCGCGAGGAAGTCACTTCTCCCTAAAATTTCCCCCCAGGATGAGCCCTGTATTCATTATTGTATTCTGTAAATTTATACAGTAGATTATGTCAGGCAAAACAAGATCTAACAACTTACACTGGCAACATCACTATTCCCTGTGTCACTTAGTTGACTCTGCTGTAAAACAACAACATCAGTATAAATCATATCTCTATATCTCCTGTCTTGATTTGCATGACTGTCATAGACTCCTTCTGCTTCTTACAAGCTGTTGAAACATGATATTAGCTTGACTATTTCGAAGAATAGGGAGAGCTATTGTACTTACTCAAATTTCAGCGTCACACTTTGGTTAAGTTTTTGTATGCAATTTGGTACTTCCAAAACAACTAAAGGGAGTGGGTTGAAACTTTACTGTCTAAGGTCCATAAAATCATTTACTGAATCACCACGGGGGTAGCTAAGATGTGTAGATTTGGTAGAGGTAGGTGGAACATCAAAAGGACCTTTAACCTTGAGCTTTTGTTAAACAATTTCCGGATTTTTTTTACAAGACTTCAAGTTTGGTGATGTTAAAGCCTTCAATTTACCAATATAACCCAGTTTAAAACCATTTGAAAATCCTTGAATTAAGTATTGTGCTAACGGATAATTTTGTAGAAATAGTGCAAGTGCACTTATTTTGATAGGTGTGATTACCTGTAAACTATTTGGATGGTCTTGGTCCTTGCTTGAAAATTTACATTTGTAGGCTGTATGGATATCTCTGTAAAATCCACATATGGGTGGTTTGGTGATTTTGATTATGGCACTGAGAGCGTTTGTTAAAATTCCAGCAGGTTTTTTTTTAGAAACCTTCTGGCACTGTTAGAGGTGTTGTGACACGTTGGTTGGTGATTAAGCCAAAGGACTGCTGGGGTTGTTGTAAAGATGTGCATGCCATTAGCAAAATTCTGTATGTATACGGTCCCAGGGGATGACAATGGAATCATGATATAAAAGTGTCAGGCTAGATCCCTTACAATTTCCATGTATTTAAGTAATTGTTGTTTTTCCCAAGGATATATTTAAAGAGATAGACAGTCATTAATCTTATAAAGTGTCGTACAGGACTCGATATTGAAAATTTTCCTAGTGCGGGCAGTTGGGTAACTCCCTACACACAAATCACATCTGATCTGCAAGCATATTGGCCTATGCCTCTCTTCAAAGTGGCACTGGTAGCTCCTTATAGATTTTTGTTTGAAGTTACACCCTCGGACCTTACACGGTTCATCTTTGTACAATCCTGCACATGACAATCCCGCAATGGTGGTCAGAAGCGCTCTAATAACAGTAGTAAGTTGAGTGTTAATTTATAATGACATGTATAGAATAATTATAGTTAATTGATAGTTATACCCCCGGAACGAAGTTTGGGGGGGATATATAGGAGTCACCCGGTGGTCGGTTGGTCCAGCGGTCCGTTGCATTTCCCTTGTCCGGAGCATAACTTGGAGACTAATGGTTGGAATTCAATATAACTTCATACAATGGTCAAGCACATTGAGAGGAAGTGCAGTGCACAAGAACCATAACTCCATCATGACTAATTACAGAGTAATTGTCCTTTGTAACTTTTCCTTGTCCAGACCATTACTTGAAAACTGCTGGTTGGAATTCAATACAACTTCATACAGTTGTCAAGCACATTAAGAGGAAGTGCAGTGCACAAGAACCATAACTCCATTTAGACAAATTAAAGAGTTATTGCCCTTTGATACTTTTCCTTGTCCAGAGCATAACTTAAAACATACTGGTTGCAATTCAAAACAACTTCATACAATGATCAAGCAAAATAAGAGGCAGTGCAGTGCACAAGAACTATAACTCTGTCCAGAGTAATTATAGAGTTATTGCCCTTTGTTACTTTTCCATTGCTTTTTTCTTGTCCAGAGCATAACTCAAAACATCAAGTTGGAATTCAATACTATTTTATACAATGGTCAAGTATATTGAGAGGAAGTGCAGTGTACAGAAATCATAACTCTTTTTTGACTCATTTAAAAGTTTTTGCCTTTTGTTACTTTTTATTGTCCAGTGCATAACTTGAAAAATAATGGTTGGAATTCAATGAAACTTTATACAATGGTCAAGGGCAGTGAGATGAAGTGCAGTGCACAAGAACCATAACTCTATTTGGACTAATTGCAGTAATTAGCCTTTGCTACTTTTTTGTCCTGTGCATTGAAAATTGAAAACTTGTAGTTGGAATTTAATACAACTTCATACAATGGTCAAGTGCAGTGAGAGGAAGTGCAGTGTACAATAACCATAATTCCATCTTCAGTATTTATAGAGTTATTGCCCTTTGTTCCTTTTCCTTGTCTTTCTGGACTTATTACAGAGTAATTCAATAAAACTTCATCAATGGCCAACCACATTGAAAGGAAATGCAACATACAAGAACCACAACTATCTTCAATTGCCCACAACCATAACTTTTACAAGGTATTCTGTTACTAGTAACATCCTCATTTCCGAAGCAGTCTTGCGGGGGTATTAATCACATTTAGTGATAGTTCTAGTTATATAATATAATTGATTGGATGATGAATTAATCTCAAAACTTAAAAAAAAAATTCTATTGAAATCAATTAAATTTTATCATTAAGATACACCGCCTGATTGCGAAATTAATCACACAACACAAGGTGATTTTTGAGTTTCAGTTGATTTGTGTTGGTCTAAGTATTAATCAAATCCATCAATGGATAGCAAAGTGGTGGTTGGACATCAGCGGGTGGTGACTGATGTGGTTGTAACTGATGTGTCCGACGCTGCAAAACCTGCTGATGCATGGGCTTAACGAATAATCATTACCGTGAAAGAACAATAATTAAAGAGCAAATCAATTTCTTTACAAATACAGACAACAATTTTACGACTTTTAAAATCACTTATAGCGCAGCGAGTAAAAATCATTTAAATATTCATGTGTGTATATTATGTAAATCGTATAGTAAATAAAATGTTTTTCATGGTTAACATAATTATAGAAAGAGAACGGTAGGCATGTTGCTTCGCATTTGCAACGGATTCTAAAATCTGCTTTAAACTGTAGTCCTTTTTTTCGACTTGGAACTGGTGCCAGAATTGACAATTGAAGAAAAATGTAAGATTTATGTCATTCATAACAAAAATATGAACATATTTAGGTAGAGTTTTGCCTTCCGTACTCCCGGTTGATGTAAACCTGACTTTTTAATCATGGCGTAGACCAGAT